CCCTTGTTGTTGGTCACTGTGTCCGTCTTGTCTCCCTTCTGTTTCCTCTTTTCTCCCTTCTTGTCTCCCTTCTTGTTGGTCATTTGTGTCCGGCTTGTCTCTCTTCTGTTTTCCTTTGTCTCCGGTCTTGTCTCCCTTCTTGTTGGACACTGTGTCCGTCTTGTCTCCCTTCTTTCCTTTACATGTGCCTCCTCTCTCCCCCCTCTCGCTTGCAACCCTTCACATTTGTTTCCTAGCTGCTCTGCCCTGCAATCCTTTACATTTGTCTCCCAGCTCTGGGCTGCGTGTCGCTTGCAATCCTTTACATTTGTCTCCCTGTGTTTACATTTGTCTCCCAGCTCTGGACTGCTGTGTCCGCCTCTGCCTTGCAATTCTTAATTTTACATGTGTCTCCCAGCTCTGACTGCTGTGTCCGCCTCTGCCTTGCAATCCTTTACATGTGTCCTCGCAAGCCTTTGCATTTGTCTCCCAGCTCTAGACTGCTGTGTCCGCCTCTGCCTTGCAATCCGTTATTTGTCACACAGCTCTGGGCTGCATGTCGCTTGCAATCCTCTACATTTGTCTCCCTGTGTCGACATGCGTCTCCCAGCTCTGGACTGCTGTGGCCGCCTCTCCCTTGCAATCCTTTGTCTCCCAGCTCTGGACGTCGCAAGCTCTAGTTGCAGAGTGTTCCGGTTTTGAAAACCACAAACTGTTTGGGGTCTACGGTGGTGTAATTTGTTCAAACTACCCTCGAATTTCCATCTAAGCACATTCAAACCGCTGTTCTTAGCGCAGTGGTTCCAGTGGCACTGTCACCCCGAGATGCCACATATGGGGGTGCATATAAACCACCCAACTTGGCCAATCTGCGCCATCCACTTACTCTCAATCAACAGCTCCTCCAGGCCTGTCCCTGGCAGCCGACACGGCTTCAGCTTCCGCCTTGGGCACTGGCGGCCTTCGTGCTGCTTGGCGCTGCTGCCCGTGGCGCTGGCGTTCTCCACGCTACGACTCGACTCCTCCGAGGCACTGGCCTTGAGGCGCAGGAGCGCGCTGGCCTGAGCGACGACGCACGCCTGCCTGAGCAACTGGTGGTTTGCTCCATCAGAGCTCCTGGACTTCCATGGCCAATAGAGTACTCTAAGTACTCTGTTTGACTCATCACTCGAGCGGTTGGTGCAATCAGAGTTGGTGCGGTTGGTGCAATCAGATCGAAGGTGGCTTGGATGTACCTAAAATGTTAAGAGCTGGTCAGCCAAAGGTTCTTTTTGATGTTGTTTTTGTGTTTCCCTTTTTGGGGTGGTACACACCTCACATCCAAGGTGTGCCTTAAATGTTTCAAAAGACACCAACACAACCAGCGTAGAACCACTACAAATATACATAGTAACCCATTATAAAGCTGCCATTTCACGCACCACAAAATTACACAAGGAAAGGCACAACACAACCACTTAGAGAGCTGCAGCAACACGACCTCCTGAAGCATCCAAAACACCTGGCCCTTAGAAGCCTGCGGGCCTGCATTTGAACGCAGGCTGATGGAAGTGTGCGATGCTGGTGGGCAAGGGAAAGAAAAAGGTGTTTGAGGAGTGCGGACGGTTGGTGAAGCAGTTTTGGTAGACACAAGACATTGTTAATACATAGCACATAGGGCTTTTCTAGGTAAATTTATCCAGCTTCTCTTTGGGTTTGAAGAAGAGCCAGTACCGTTTTGTTTAACGACATGCACACGTTGGTGGGTGGACGATCGCATGTTCACATCAAGTATTTGCAGGCTTTACACATTTGCTGCGTTGGATTGGCTCGGTGTATTTGTTCATCAAGCTTTGCTTTCGCTGCGTCTTGGCTGCTTGCCGCTGCCAGTCAAGCTTTGCTTCTCGTGTGAAGGAAGGACAGGTGTCATCAGGCAAGCATCAAAGTCCACTCCTGCACTGACTGTCCGGAAAGCTCCGTTGGAGTGAAGAATGGAAAGCAGAACAACCGCAGGTTCCAATGGTTCATGCAGCTTGACCTTGTCGCCCCAAGACTTTCCATTGTTTTCAAGTCGAACGTTGACCCTGTGAGTTCTGAGGGGACAAGTTTCTACCAGAGTGGGTTTTGGTAAAGTAAGATGTACATTCTAGATATTTCTAGATCAGTTTGAGGTAGGGAAGATCCCCTCCCCAAAACGTATCCACATCAATCTCATTCTTCATCTCCTCCCCAAAACGTCTCCTCACCTCCCGGCCGTCACAGGCCCGCCACGTTCCGACGCTTTTTTGTCGTCTCCGGCGAAGCCGGACGGGCGCCATGGCACTGGAGGCGGTGGAGGGTGATGCCGCACTGGAGGCCCTTGCAGAGCTGCTTTACGAGAAGCTTGGGCCGAGCTTTGGAGAGGTCCTCGAAATCCCCTAGACGTCGACGCAAATGCTGTTGACGACGCAAGTGACGCAAGTGCTATTGGTTCGATTTGGTTCGTAGTCTTGTGAGTCAGAGGAAAAAGGATGGATCAAGTGTTTGTTTTTCTCCAAGTCGGTGATTGACCCTGATTGTAAGGTGATTTTGAATCTTCTCTCTTTGGTGAATCCGTTTGCGGATCTTTGGGGAGATATTTATCCAGGCTCCTCAAGCAAATCCAAGTATGCAACGATTGGTATACGATTGGCATACCCTTTGTGTCCTGGTTTGATCAACAGAGTGTGATCAGGCTTGCTGCTTGCCCCGACTAGTCGGGGATCACTATGTGAAACGGTGAGAACTAGTGAAGTTTTATTTGAAGAGGAAGAACAACTACCAGGGCCCCCCGGATAGGGTGGTTAATAGTAGTTAATAGACACCCATTCACCTCTAAGAAGCTATTATTGGACACCCCTTACAGTAGGGGGGCCCTGGTATACTTCATCCTTTTGCCGGGCATTCGAGATTTGTTCTAGCCACATATATCATGGCGATGAGTTCCTGTTTCCATGCTGCGATCATTTGCATACC